TTTTCATAATCGAACAAAATTCTTATGTTTTATATATTTGCTAAAATCTTTAATAGACCTTTTGGCAACACAACAACAAATAGTAAGGCAAAGGATGTTTATTTATATGCACATTACAGTAGCAAGACAATTCAAAGTGCTGAGGGGAATAGGAGAACACACGGAAAAGTACATTGCGAAATAACTAAATAAAAATAAAAACAACCCTACTTATACACAAATAGTTTTGACCCAATAAGATTTAATCCTTTTTTTTATTTTTTTTTTATTTTTTTGTGGTCCAGTCAAATAAAATAATAAAAATAAGTTGTATTAAACTTTTTAGACAGCAGAGTCAAAGTCCACCCTAAATAAATATTTTAAAATTTCAATTCAAGGCAATTTAGGGTTTCAGGGGAGAATAAGAACTAAAATCTTTTGCTCCGTGTTCATGGTTCTGGGTATGCCTATGACCTGAGCGGTCTGGGTGATGAATACACCCGACAACTCTGTATTGTATTTTGGTGCTAAGCCCTTCAGTGATTAATAGACTGAGAGAAATATTTTTAAGTAAATTCTATTAGATATGGAAAACCAGTGTAAGGACTTCAAGTATAAAGACTAGGGTTATATGCCCCACTTTCTAGGTTTTGGTGAGAGCCTGAACAGCAGCAATCTGGATCCTCTGCAGATGGCTGATCAAAATGACATATGAATACTGCAAACCATCACACAGTAATCAATTCTTGAAGATGAATGCATTATTTAGTTTCTTCCTTTAATCCTCAAGATATTCCTTAAGTAATAGATCGCTGAGTTTGTCACAGCCTTTATGTGCCTCTAAAGTTTCTGCTTTCCACCCAGATTTTAAGCCTGATTGGTGGTTTCTAGCTATATTAACTGAAGCTATGTGCGTAAATCCTCTTCCTTTAGTCCAGACACTATTACTTCAGCTCAATGGAGTTAATTAAAACCAAGCGTAACCCATTGCATTAACAAATGTTGACATACATAAAACACGTTACAACGGGGGAAAATAGCTGTTGTTAAGAACCTGCAAATAATAAACTCCAGAAACAACAGAAAGAATTCAGCACAAGATCACTTTTCTAACTGAATGATCACTTTTTCCCTCTGTTGTCTGAGTTTAATGAGGAAAACCTACCCCCTGTCTGGCCACAGTCAATCAAATCTTTAAGCATGTTCTGCCAACCAACATCGAGTAACCAGCTGCATGACCCGCCCCCAGTGTGCCCCGTTCCATAAACCAGATAAGAGGCTTAGCCTCATTGGAAGTGATGGAACTTTGCGTGTTATCCTTTCTCTCGGGTTGCCTCATTGTACGGAGGCTCAGAGGAGATTTCACATAGAGACTGAAAGAGACCTGATCCTGCCACTCCAGGGCGGAGTGGAGATTGTGTCACAGAATGCATTCAACAGCTGATTAATGCCTTTGCTTATGGAACCAGGGAAAATTTTGTGTACATTTAATTTGAATTAATGACTACATTTATGTGCCTGTCCAGGGTGTAGCCCGCCTCTCGCCCGTAGACAGCTGGAGATAGGCACCAGGACCCCTCATGACCCCAGCTGGGATAAAGCATGATGGAAAATTAATGGATGGATGGATGGATGGATACATCCATAACAATTATTTTATAAAATTTACAAGGACGGTTTAGTCTCCCTAGTATTCAATGTGAAATCTCCACTGCTAAAATGGAAATACCACTGCTAAGATGCTAAAATACCATAAGGGCTATGTCTACTTTCTAAAGTAAACTTATCTTTTGAAAAAAAAAAAAATCCCTGTCCTTAAAGTAGGATTCAAACCAGTTGATTGTTTAAATTAAAAATGCCGACCCATTTTTCCAGGTTTTCCAATAAAATGGAGAGATCAACAGTGTTAAATGCCACACTAAGGTCCAATAATACCAGCGCTGTGGTTCCTTCACAGTTTGCATTTATATAGACATTACTGAACACTTTGACAAGGGCTGTGGTGAGCACAGAAAGCCTGGAAGAGATTAAACCGGCTAGTCATTGTTACGAACGTGTTTAACTGTTGAAAGACAGCTTTTTAAATATCTTACTTATGAAAGGGAGGTTTGAGATGGACATTTAATTGTGCAACAGCAGCTTGTCCAAGTTGCTCTTTTTCACTGTGGTTTGAGCATTGCTGTTTTTAGCTGCCTGGGTGAAAGCATCTGAAAAAAGTAAAGGTGGCCATAAGTTGAATCAGATACTATAGCAGGCAGAGCTATCTTAAGAGTAGATATGAGTAAAACATGGAGACAGTATGACGAAAAGCTTAATTAAGCATATCTCTCGCACTTAAATCTCCAGGTTAACGTAAATTTTTCAAACACTGGTCGACCAGCTAACAGTCAGCTCCCTTCCCATTGGCAGAAAAAAAGGTCGGTCTGACCCCCCACTGGCAAGCTCTCTGGTGACCCCATCATGCTCAGCTGGAGTTGAAGATGTCACCAGTGCAACAGAAACAAGAAAATTAAACAATGAAGAGTTGTTTTGGCTTGTTATATCAGCTGCGATTGGCGCAATGTTGTGACATATGTACATTGTGCTCAATGGTATCATATATTAATGGATCGACACAGGTCTGATTTTCACACAGTATGCCAATCGGAATTGAACTATTGAAAGCCATTTTAAACAGTTGCTTGCCAAGTCATTTGATCAAAGTTGACACGGGTCAGTGAGTTGTTCCCATTGCCACTAAAAACAGGTTTTTATTTGGTCTGTGGGAAAGGGGTATTAGTATGTGTTTTTTTCTTAGTTTTGCAGTTTATTTGGTGAAACTGGGAAATTATGTCAAAAACAGATCTAGTTGTAGAAATTATTTTTACAGGACTTGGTAGGGATATGCAGACTGTACCTTTTGTGTTTTTTCAGTGAGGAAGTTAGAAACAGTTATTGCAGGCCATGGAATTTAGATGCTATATTACAGGGAGGTTTGCTAACTTGTTAGCCTTTCAACCATGGCAAAATAAGGCATGAGAATTGTTAATGTTTTTGCTGATGAGCTCAGAAAAGATAGATTCTCCATTTTCCAGTTGTAAGTTACATCAGCTGAGTCAGTCTTTCGCCACCTGTGTTTTGCCTCCCATACTCCCCTTTTTTCACTTCTGAACAGTGGAGCATTTTTCCACGACTTTCTTCCTTCATTTTAATTGTTTTAGTAAGGACCTTCAATATATTTGGAGCAAATTAATCAATGAAGACAAAAATATTAGAATTTAAATTATCTACCAGATCATCTACAGAGTTGGGGGCAAAGTGGAGGTAGAAGAGTAAATCTTGTTAAAGGTTTAACTACAGTAACAACATTCATAAATATGCGTTTTCTTATAAGGTCTCTTTGGCTAAATTATTTATTGGAAAAGCTTATGTTTTCAAATATAATCTCAAAGATGTCAACGAACATTAGTAAAAGGCATGTTTTAGACCCTTTTGATGATTGAGTCAAAAATATGTCTCTGTTATGTTTCAGTCTCAGTTTGTACATCAGCTGTTTCACATGATGAGTTAAACCAACGTTTTCTACAATTATCACATTGCATCTTCATGGTTATCAATGTGAATGTAGAAATCTTTAACTGGAAACCCAAATATCCACAAGACTGAAATTTTAAGTTCTTTTTTTTTTTTTTATAATAAAGAAACTAAGCCTTTGCTTTGCTGTCTGCTCTTACAACATTTTTTTTTTTTAGTTTGGATGCACCAAAACCATTATGATGGGTTCTTCATTAAAGTTCATGTAACCTGGTCTCTGTTAAAACTGAACATGGTGATAATATATTTCGTAAGGAGGATAATTTCTGGTGAAGTTAGCAATGGGACCCAGTTTTTATCACAGACTGTAAGTATTTATCGTTAAAATATTTGAAATAAATACATTTTCCTTTTTAAAATTCACAGTTGTGCATTCCTACTCTACATATAAATAATATAAAGAATTTGCAGTAGGACTTTACACCAATTGTTTTGATATGATCTCCACTTATTCTTACTGGGTTTACTCTGTAAAAAGCAAATTATTCAGTCTTTATGTCTGTAAAGATGGTAGATCCGCCAAAACAAAATAGTTAAACTCACATCTTCTGCAACTTGAAATCTCCATAAAATACAATGAAGATTGGAATGAAATGGGAGAAAGTGCTAAGAAATAAGGGTTATTAATACCTTTCTGCAAGGTATTGTGCAGGTGTGACATTATAACCAAGGAGGCAACTGAATGTTGATTTAAAGAGAGAGCAGAGGGTTAAAATGCCCTTCACATGGTCTGTGGTTTTCCTGTGTGCTGATATCTGCTTCAACAAGATATCAAGTGACTTCTGATAACACACCACACAACGGAAAGGGGTCTGCCTTGCAATCCTGCTCGTTTACCCACAGAAACAGCATCACAAATCAAACACAAGAAACACAGGCCAGCATACACTTCGAGGAGCAGACAGACAAACAGAAGAGCATGTAGAAGGGCAGGATTAGTCCCTAATGGGATTGGCAGACCAATGAAAGACGCTGTAATCAAACATACACAGTGGCTGTTGCAAAATCTGGGCCTGGAACAAAAGAGGCAAAGAAAGGAAGAAGAGCTAATCACAGACAGCAGTGGTCTTAAGAGGACTCTGACTTCACAGCGCACCATGGAAACATTAACCCATAGGAACATCACATGTATAGTGATGTATTTGAAATCATTCTGTTTAGAAATTACTAGAACTGACTCCTAATTTATGCATGCACTGCCTGTGCTGGATGATAAATATTTACAGTGGGTGGCAGTAAGATCAGCATTTGTGTCACGCCTGCCTAATCATGCACAGCATGTAAACACACACTTGATTATTTAATCTGAGTATTTAGGTTAATAGGAAATCTCTGAACATGAGTTGGTCACACTCATACCACCTGACACTTAAAGTACACATTCTGATGTATGAGAAAGACATCAAATCAAAATAAAAAAGACAGAATAGCTTAAGAAAAAGACTAACCTTTACAGAAGCAAGAATGCAGCTCAATTTCTGTTGACGCATCCTCTGCATTTTGCTTCCAGAAGCTAAAAAGGGGAGTATGGCTGGGTGTTCTGCAAAGAGAGGGTCAAGAAAGAAAAGGACATGTGTGTATCGGGTTGAAAACCAGCCTCAGGCCTGACTTTTATTGGTCCTCTTCAGAGATTTTAGGCCAAAGCCATTTTAATGTGTCGCTTTGTTTTCCCTTTATGTGCAGAACTTTAAATTATTAAATTATCTAACTGGAAAAAAAATGAGTCTTTTGACATTTTATTTTCACTTCAGATTGTGCAAAGGACTGAACTGAAAATTAGAGATGCATTCTTTAGAGATCTGTGTGCTGAACCTTACCTTGAACGGTTGAAAGGATCCCCATTCAATCAACTCCATTCTGAAAACCTAAGCCAGTGGTGACTGCCAGAGACCCTGCTCAGGTTTTACCTCTAAATGATGACAAACAAATCTATAGAACAACCTTGGGAAGCCAAATGCTGTCTAACCAACACTGCCCTTCTACTAGTTCCCAATTTTATTGAAAGTCATTGTCACTAAGCACTAAAATAAAGTTAGGAGAACCAGTTAATGATTACAAATCAGCTCACGACTTCCGACAAATTGGAAGATTTAATTCCTTTCTCTGTTATTTATATGAAGTGTTATATTGGAAACCAGTTTAGACAGCTTAAGGCAGTAGAGCAGCAAACTAGGTTTTATGGGGAGTGTGGCCTAGAGGTTAGGGCATTGAGCTTGGAATCCTGAGGTTCTGAGTTTGATCCCCACTCCCACAGACTGGCACTCTGGGGTCTCTGAGCAAGACCCTTAAAACCAACACTGCTCCCCAGGCGCCCAACAATGGCAGCCCACTGCTCTGCCAAGGGGATGGGTTAAATGCAGATGTAAATTTCTCAAACGTGTGATCAATAAGATTAATTATTATTCCTATCTTTATCTCTGGGAGGAATTTGGCCTAAGGTAGAGACCTCTTACTTTTTAAACACTCATTTAGCTGTACTTTTAAATGCAACAGTTCCTCAGAGAACTAAAGAACCAACGCTGCTATACAGAGGGTGTAGACCAATGTCAGAATAAACTGCAGAGTGCAAACATTTCTATAGAAGCAGGTAGCAATGGAGGACATATTTAAATATGATTTATCAGCAGTTAAGGTCTTGGGGGAGCAATGGATGCAGACAAACCCTCTGTTGGCATGTATTGTTTGAATTTTATGTTCAGCATTCATTTTCTGTGGATTTGCGTGTCAGGATTGAAAGACCTGAAACTACTGCAAACACAGCAAGAATTTTTACACCTTCTGGATACACAATGCTGTGTTTTAGGGGTACAGATTTATGTATGTTCGCAATGCAGCATGTGTGTGCTCTCACCCTTGTGGTCTTGATCTTGTTCCCAGATGAGCACATCCATCCAGAGTTGTCAGGCAGAGTCTTGCACTCCTCTCCTTCCAGACACGGTTCCATCTCACACCACCACTTCCCAATTACAATGGACGCTGCAAAGGGTCAAATGGAGCCATAGAAATTTAGTCTATTACATACATATGCACAGACTCTTGTAAAAATATTTATACAAATGGAACATCTCCACATTATGAAACAATTGCACACTTTAAAGTCTATTTATAATATTAAGATAAATAGAGACATACATACTCATAAATACTGTGTGGTTAGGCTACTTTGAGAATTTAATACTGATCTTTACAGAAGCCCTCCTGGCACTCTGAGCTTGAGCTATTTTGCAGGGAATAAAGAAACAGTATCTACAGTAGAAATGAAATGCAGGTTCAGACATTTAGCTAACACCCGGAGCTCTGTTTGATAGAGTTACTGTAATCATAATACCTCGATTGGCAGACTGGAAAATTTGGCACAATTGTTTGGTTCTTTGCTAAACTGGTTCAGATCTTATTTGTCAGGGTGAAATTGCTTTGGGCCATTTGGTAAATAAGTAAAGGAAAACACTTGTGAGGGTACTTTAAGGTGTTATAACCAATTTTCCCTTTCCTACCACATTAATACTATGCTCTATTTTGTATGCTTTATGCAAATATATTATGAGTATCACCACATGAGAGCTTTGCCATCTTTCTAAATTATTGTTTTTCCTCCTCTTTGGCCTCTGAGCAGTTGTAACCTTGCTGCCTGGNGAGAGCTTTGCCATCTTTCTAAATTATTGTTTTTCCTCCTCTTTGGCCTCTGAGCAGTTGTAACCTTGCTGCCTGGGTAGTTTTGCTGTACGCAATAATGTCTTCAGCCAACAAAAATTAATCATTATTTTGTTTTGAAATGGCTCCATTGTAAGTAAGGGAGCGATCTCATTTTTAATCAAAACTAATTGCCCCTCATTAACATCTACTAGATTCTTCCTGAAGCTGCTTGACAAAAACAAATATATTCTCTGTTTCTCATCAAACATTCCCCCCTTTTCTGTTTTTCTTGAGTGTCTCTGGATGTGTGCACTCATGTTCATGTGTGTTTTCTCTTTCGAATATATGAATATATATAGGTCAGTATCTGGGATTTCCATTAAATGTTTTCCTACATTTTTAACATAGATTCCTCGTTCTAAAGCATCAAAACAGACTTTAAACTAAGCACTAGACAATTGGAAGCTTTTACTCATATAGAGAGGATATGCAAACATCACTTTAAAGCCTTGTCACACATTCCTGATTTGTTCTTTTTTGACTAAACTATGCCGTGTAACTTCGGCCATATGATTTAATATGATTGTTCTACTGAAAGTTGAACCTTTGCATCCGTCTCACCCTTCTCATAATTTTCTGTCTCAGCTGACATAAAGCATCCCAAAAGGATTATCTTATTTTATAGTGAAGTCAGTTTGTTCATATTCAAATGCAGTATTTGTTTTTTCTACACTTCTTTTGCATGAAGGCCAAAATTTGAACAGAGCTTTTGTGAACAGACCTTCTTCCACGTATTTGCTCTGTCCCACCCAAACAGGAAATTACCTGTACTTACAGTATATAGCGCCTTTTGAAATCTGAGGATTCCAAAGTGATGAAAAGTTGGTGGCCGTGTCTTAGGTTTACAGCTACAGCAAAAGCCAAACTTAGCAAATAATGAGTTAAAACAGCCCTCCATAAGATGTTCAAAACATGAGATATTGTCCCAAAGCATAAATGTGTTTTTAGCAAATCGATGCACTCATTTGATTTAGGGGAATCAGCATTCGAGAAGCTGAAAATAACTCCATGTTAAGGTTTTCACATTTTTTTTTTCTTTTTGTAAAGTTTTTCGAAAGCTATGAATCACATCCGTTCCACTTAATAGTTTAAAGAAAATTTGTCTTTCATATAAAATCCCTGTTCAAATCGCTGAATTATTTGCCTCTAACTTGGCGAAATATGTGAATATTTTATGGGAAAGAATACTTGAACAAAATATTGCAGGGGAGTTGCATGTATCTGGGACAAAACATTATCATCACATCATAATGCCCAATTTCATAGAACTTTAGAGGCTTTAATTATTTTTTTAAAATCAAAATGTTCTACAATGAGAATTTCTATCAGAAATAAATCAGAGCAAAATTCTAAAGCCTGCTATCATCTTCACTTTTGAATTTGTTTCTGTTTATTGTGCTTCTCCACTTGAGCTTTTTGACAGCAGACATAAAGACTTCAAAGCCTATAGTAATTTGTAATTCTACTCTTTTCTCCTCAGCAGAATCTTTTCCAGCAAATTGGATGCTTAGAACACATGCCTGCCACCAACATTTAGAATAATCAGTTCTTCTTTTATTATCTTCACCAAAAAGAAGATGTGTACTTCAAACTGTAGTGTGATTGGAAGAAGTTAAACTAGTGCAGAATCATTTTATGTTTTTCCAAGTCTTCTAAAGAAAAAAAAATGAAATATTTAATTATCCCCCAGCATCTGTTGCCAAGGTTACAGACCAACTACTAGAGGAATACAGTATAAGTAGGAGAACCACAAAATAAATAGGTGCCCACATATCATATCTCAATTCTGGTAAAAAAAAAAAAAAAAAACCTAGCTATTGAACTTTTTGCCTCCACACGCATAACAAACAGAACATTTAAAGTATCTTATTTGGATATTTTCTTATGGAAAGGACATTAGTACACAGTTGTTATTTAAAAAGGAAAGTATATAGTTTGAAAAATGTATTTGCAAACAAATCGATGCAAACAGCCTATTTTATTCCTCAATAAGATGCATCCATCTGCCTTCAGAAGTCATTTTATTGGAATTATTCAGCATAATTTGAACATCACTAAAGCTGCTCTGTGATTCCCCAAAAGTTTGTCGAAAAAACTGCATCACACCAGGAAAACCCAGATTTCACATTTACTGTGTGCTAAGTATTGAATTTATAAGGTTTTCATGAGGTTTCTAACAAGATTTTGTAAGAAAATGAAATAATGCATCAGGGACAGGACCACACTGTCTCATGAGGAACGCAGTGCATAACCCAAAATATCAGCCTTCAAAAAAATATTAATATCAACGAGTGTGACTGTTGTGGGCATGAGACCAAAGGACTGAAAATGGGTTTGAAGAAGTCAAAGGACACATGTCTAAAGCAAAACATTATGCAGATCAGCAAAAACATAATACAGAATAATATTTGACAGAGTTCATGTTCAGTTACTGAATAAATAAAAAAAACAGTATCCATGCCTTTATCATATATAGTAATACAATAAATAGTGTTTAGAAGCTTTTTTTCCCTTCTCATTCCAGGTTAAAGATGTTCTTTATCAATATTGGGGAAATATTTACTAAGGTCACACAAACAATTTTGTTTTAATGTTCTAAATAGCACAGGGCTGCCCAGTAAAGCAGTGGCTAGTACTGCTGCCTTGTAGCAGGTCCGATTCCCGGCCCGGGGTCTTTCTGCATGCAGTTTGCATGTTCTCCCTGTGCATGACTGGGCTCTCTCCGGGTACTCCAGCTTCCTCCCACCGTCCAAGAACATGACTGTTACGTTAATTGGCCTCTCTAAATTCTCTTTAGGTGTGAGTTTGTGCGTGAATGGATGAATGCCCTGTTTGTCTGTGTTTCCCTGTGACGGAATGGCGACCTGTCCAGGGTGTACCCCGCCTCTACCCCTTTGACAGCTGGAGATAGCTGGAGACACCAGCATCCCTCGTGATCTTGACATTTTTGGTAGTGCCCTTGTAAGTCACATTTATTTATTCTCCTAAACAATCCATAGTTATTTGCTACAGTGTTTATTTACAGCGACCTTCACATGATCACAATTACAAATCTACAGCTAACATAAAAAGATTTTAGCTGATGATAACATCAGAGGCTAACAACAACCACATTCATTCCTAAGTGCAACTCTAAGCTATGTGACCAGTTTTACAAGCAACATGCTTTCCACACGGTCTAGAAATAAAAACCTTTTTCCTAGCCATTTGATGCCAAATTTGGGGACATTTACAGGGCCAGCTTCTGCCAGGTACAGTTAAATCAAAATGGGGACGTTGGTCATGTTATCCTGGGTGCTCATTTTTGCAGCTAAAACTTACCCTGTTTGAGCTTGACAGCTAGTCAGTACAGCTTACAGCTACAGGGCACAGGCTCCCTGTCTGTAGTGTACGTCATTGCTAATGTAGCCAGTGTGCCGGTGCTCTTTCTGTTCTGCTTGACACGCCTGGAACTTTATAGTCGTTGACAAACCCTGTACCTGCAGACTGCAGCGTGTACCGAAAAGCCAGAAATGCTATTAAATAAAACTATATCACCATATGTATTGATTTTAAAACTATTGTCCGGTGATTGTGATTAATAATTGTGATTAATTAAGTTTGTATTGTCATTAATCCATTGTCAATCATAGTGAAGACCATTATGAGTCCTTACGCCCCCCATGTTCCCTAGTCCACTGGGCATCACCTCCATTAGGTGCATTTTTGCACCATTTGTGGGCATAGGTAAACTTCCAGAGCGGGATAAGTTGTTTGTCAAGTGCAACTTGAGTGGGAGTTTTGACTTTACATCTTTGCATATGGTTAGCACTTTGCTGCCATCTAGCTCTAGCAGTTGTTCCCTATAAAGCCATTTTTCTGTATTTTGCATACTTCTACCTACAATTACATTTTTCTTTTTATATTTAAACTTAACTCTATTTAATGTACAACCTACTTAAACAGCAAACAATAATATGTTGTATTTAATAGCTTTAGGCAGTAACGGTTAATTATGGCAATGATATTCAGCTTACTATTTGACACAGCTGCTAAAAGTAGCCACACACAACAAAAATCAAGCTAGGATAACTTTGCAACACTGTTGAAATAGGTTCTAGTTTTTTCCAAACTGTGGCTTGTTTATTGCCACAACAGACTTAGAACACCTCCACCTTGACCAGTGGAGAAGTGTCTATTTTTCGGCTGGAATCAGTTTCCTTAATCTCTAGTGACCATCAGCTCAGACGGCATGGCCTTTGCTGCAACAATGGACAACTTGACTATTCCTGTGTGGCAAACACAGGCAA